ATTTTCATATTTAGATGTATGCACTTACTATAAGTCGCTCTGTATAAGAGCATCTGTTAAATGACTAAAATGTAAATGTTTCACATACAGATCTCATATTACTGTATTTAATTATTATTATTTTGTTATTAAATATTGATATCACAAATGTATAATTTGTACAGTTCTTTATTTAAAAATGTAGTTATTTCTTACATTTGACTGTGTAAAACCTAGCAGTATAGGATATTCTGAATGAGCTGCACAATCTGGACCCCTACAAATCAGCTGGGCTAGACAATCTGGACCCTTTATTTCTAAAACTAGCCAACGAAATTGTCGCAACCCCTATTACTAGCCTGTTCAACCTCTCTTTCGTAACGTCTGAGATCCCCAGAGATTGGAAAGCTGCCGCGGTCATCCCCCTCTTCAAAGGGGGTGACACTCTAGATCCAAACTGTTACAGACCTATATCCATCCTGCCCTGCCTTTCGAAAGTTTTTGAAAGCCAAGTTAATAAACAGATCACCGACCATTTCGAATCCCACCGTACCTTCTCTGCTATGCAATCCGGTTTCCGAGCTGGTCATGGGTGCACTTCAGCCACGCTCAAGGTCCTAAACGATATTATAACCGCGATCGATAATAGACAGTACTGTGCAGCTGTCTTCATCGACCTGGCCAAGGCTTTTGACTCTGTCAACCACCGCATTCTTATTGGCAGACTAAATAGCCTTGGTTTCTCAAATGACTGCCTCGCCTGGTTCACCAACTACTTCTCAGATAGAGTTCAATGTGTCAAATCGGAGGGCCTTTTGTCTGGACCTATGGCAGTCTCTATGGGGGTGCCACAGGGTTCAATTCTTGGGCCGACTCTTTTCTCCGTGTATATCAATGAAGTCGCTCTTGCTGCTGGTGACTCTCAGATCCACCTCTACGCAGACAACACCATTTTGTATACATCTGGCCCTTCATACATTTACATTTACATTTAAGTCATTTAGCAGACGCTCTTATCCAGAGCGACTTACAGTTAGTGCATACATTATTTTTATATCCCCCGTGGGAATCGAACCCACAACCCTGGCGTTGCAAACGCCATGCTCTACAAACTGAGCTACATCCCCTGCCGGCCATTCCCTCCCCTAGACGACGCTGGGCCAATTGTGCGCCGCCCCATGGGTCTCCCGGTCGCGGCCGGCTACGACAGAGCCTTCATTGGACACTGTGTTAACAAACCTCCAAACGAGCTTCAATGCCATACAACACTCCTTCAGTAGCCTCCAACTGCTCTTAAACACTAGTAAAACTAAATGCATGCTCTTCAATCGAACGCTGCTGGCACCCGCCCACCCGACTAGAATCACTACTCTCGACAGTTCTGACCTAGAGTATGTGGACAACTACAAATACCTAGGTGTCTGGTTAGACTGTAAACTCTCCTTCCAGACTCTCCAATCCAAAGAATCTCCAATCCAAAGTTAAATCCAGAATCGGCTTCCTATTTCGCAACAAAGCCTCCTTCACTCATGCTGCCAAACATGCCCTCGTAAAACTAACTATCCTACCGATCCTTGACTTTGGCGATGTCATTTACAAAATAGCCTCCAACACTCTACTCAGCAAATTGGATGTAGTCTATCACAGTGCCATCCGTTTTGTCTCCAAAGCCCCATACACTACCCACCACTGTGACCTGTATGCTCTTGTTGGCTGGTCCTCATTACATGTTCGTCGTCAAACCCACTGGCTCCAGGCCATCTACAAATCCCTGCTAGGCAAATCCCTGCCTTATCTTAGCTCATTGGTCACCATAGCAACACCCACCCATAGTATGCGCTCCAGCAGGTATATCTCACTGGTCATCCCCAAAGCCAACACCTCCTTTGGCCGCCATTCCTTCCAGTTCTCTGCTGCCAATGACTGGAACGAATTGCAAAAATCTCTGAATCTGGAGACTCTTATCTCCCTCACTAACTTTAAGCATCAGTTGTCAGAGCACCTTACCGATCACTGCACCTGTACACAGCCCATCTGAAATTAGCCCAGCCAACTACCTCATCCCTATATTGTTATTTATTTTGCTCATTTGCACCCCAGTATCTCTATTTGCACATAATCTCTTGCACATCTATCATTCCAGTGTTAATACTAATTGTAATTATTTTGCACTATAGCCTATTTATTGCCTTACCTCCATAACTTGCTACATTTGCACACACTGTATATATATTTTCTGTAGTATTTTTTGACTTTATGTTTTGTTTTACCCCATATGTAACTCTGTGTTGTTGTTTTTAATCGCACTGCTTTGCTTTATCTTGGCCAGGTCGCAGTTGTAAATGAGAACTTGTTCTCAACTGGCTTACCTGGTTAAATAAAGGTGAAATAAAAATACAAATAGAGCATTTTGCAAAAAAAATTGTCTCTCTGAAATGGAACCATCAAGTGATAGACATGTATTTGTTTAAAATCTGTCATTGAACAACCCCATGCCATGATTAGATAGTGAAAAAACACAACAATCTCTTGCATAATTTATTTACTAAATTAAAGCTAATTTACCAACATTTCTGAAAATTGATATATAGCTTTTTGGAATTAAACTCTTCATGTGAGGATGTGGTCTTCATTGATCTTTGTTGTCAGGCATCCGGCTGGCCCCTACAATACCCTAAAATAAAAGGTAACATTCTGTACTGTCGCCTCATAAAACATTTGTTCTCAAATCCGAAATGCTGGAGTATTGAGCCAAATTAAAACGTTTTAGCTTCACTGTCCAAATAAATACGTTGGGGAGTGTAGGCCTATATTATATGTGTTGACTTATGCATGCATGGCTATTGACACCAGTGGCATATGATGCTCCCCCACAGCCCACACAACGCAAGGTTCCTCCGAGCTTTAGGGGGGCCCCAACTCCCCACAAAATAAGCTTCCCCCCAAATAGCATATGAGCCATGGCCCAATTTTTTTTTTTTTACAGGACATTCACTTTAAAACTGCAAAATCTCAGCCTCATGGCAAAATGTGTAGAATAGCAGGAAAGTAGCTTCAAAACTGCAATATTTTCTCTCAGCCTCCATGGCAAAATGTGTAGAATAGCATGATATTAAATATAAAACTGCACTTTTTTTCTCTGCCCCATGGCAAAATGTGTAGAATTGCTGGAAATTTGCTTTAAAACAGCAAGAGTTCCTCTTAGCAAGAATTGCAAGAAGTTATGTTTTCCTCAACAACAAAAAACATTATCCAAAAGAAGAAAAAAAGTAGGGGGCTGAGGGGGTGCATCCTACACCACTGCTTTCAATAGCAATGCATGCATAAGTTAACACATGTACTGAACAGAAATATAAACACAACATGCAGAAATGTCTACGATTTTACTAAGTTACAGATCATTTATTTCAGTCAATTGAAATAAATTCATTAGTCCCTAATCTATGGATTTCACATGACTGGGAATACAGATATGCATATGTTGGTCACAGATACACTACATATACAAAAGTATATGGACAACCCTTCAAATTAGTGGATTTGGCTATTTCAGCCACACCCGTTGTTGACAGGTGTATGAAATCGAGCACACAGCCATGCGATCTCCATAGACAAACATTGACAGCAGAATGGCCTTACTGAAGAGCTCAGTGACTTTCAACGTATTGCCGGGAACTGGAGGACACTGTCGTACACGTCGATCCTGACCATCCCAAACATGCTCAATGGGTGACATGTATGGTGAGTATGCAGGCCATGGAAGAACTGGGACATTTTCAGCTGCCAAGAATTGTGTACAGATCCTTGCAACATGGGGCTGTGCATTATCATGCTGAAACATGAGGTGATGACGGCAGATGAATGGTGCAACAATGGGCCTCAGGATCTCCTCACTGTATCCTGTGCATTCAAATTACCATTGATAAAATTAAATTGTCTTCGTTGTCTGTAGCTTATGCCTGCCCATAACATAACCCCACAGCCACTATGGGGCACTCTGTTCACAACATTGACATCAGATAACCGCTTTCCCACACAACGCCATACATGTGGCCTGCGGTTATGAGGCCGGTTAGACATACTGCCAAATTCTCTAAAATGATGTTGGAGGCGGCTTATGGTAGAAAAATTAACATAACATCTTCTGGCAACAGCTCTGGTCGACATTCCTGCAGTCAGCATGCCAATTGCACACTCCCTCAGAACTTGAGACATCTGTGGCATTGTGTTGTGTGACAAAACTGCACATTTTAGAGTGGCCTTTTATTGTTCCCAGCACAAGGTGCACCTGTGTAATGATCATGGTGTTTAATCAGCTTCTTGATATGTCACACCTGTCAGGTGGATGGATTATCTTGGCAAAGAAGAAATGCTCACTAACAGGGATGTAAATACATTTGTGCAAAATATTTGAGGGAAATAAGCTTTTTGTGCATATAGAACATTTCTGGGATCTTTTATTTCAGCTCATGAAACATGGGACCAACACTTTACATGTTGCGTTTATATTTTTGTTCAGTGTATTGTTTATCTTCTCAAATGGGACCAACACTTTACATGTTGCGTTAATATTTGTGTTTAGTGTCATTGTTTCTCTTCTCAAATGGGCCATGTTCATGATTCCATTTCTATGGTTGTCAACACGACAGGGGGCTGGCATAAGGAACTGCGGCGCACGTGTTTGAGCACGCAGCCAGTGCCATGGTTACTGAAAACGCACCTTGGGGCAGCTGGAGGTTGAGTGACTGCTGGTGTGAGAACGAGAAGGGATGAGTACCTCGCCCCCAGGATGTTTGTGTGTGTGTGTGTGTGTGTGTGTGTGTGTGTGTGTGTGTGTGTAAATGTGTGGCCGCGCGCGCTCCTTACGCACCCTCTACTTACGCACCCTCTCCTTGCACTCACGCACGCACACATACGCACAACGCCTACTTTTCCCGCATTTGCTTCACATTCACCTTTATGTGGTCAATGGGAATGAGGATGTTCACCGGCGCATAACAGACATAATACAATAAATTCTTATTTCAGTTTCTTCACTATATAAATGTTAACTCCAATAGAATAACATGAATTAGATACGGTCCAAATGTGCATTGCCATAGAAACGGGCTGTCGCGTAGGTCTACTAGACCGGGACTCGCAAAGGTCTTAATTATCAGACTTTGTGCTGGTGCATTTTACACGTGAGTTGGAGCTGTTCCGACCGTAGTCGCGCGTGCGCTGTGCGCTCTCGTACAAACGACTCGCAAAGTGGCAGTTCAGGAAACTAGACATCATTCTAAAGTGCAGCACTATCCAGAACACTCGCCGTGCAACATATTCCCAAAACCTTCTCTGCCTGCTGGTTTTGGAATAACAAACACTGTAAAGACGAAGAGGAATACCAACAGGAGACAAGTTATGGATGAAAGAATACCGCGTCTGCAGGACAGACAATTTATGGATCATGCCGATTTCTTAGGGTAATTTAATTATTTCATTTTTAGGACGGTATAGGGCTATGTCCATAAACGATTAGATGTACACCATTTTTACCTTTATACCTATGTAACTAACCTGCCCTTTTCATTTTGTCAGGGTGGAATACTCCTCACTCTACATGTGTAAATCGAAAAGAGGACTGAAGCGCGAAGATGGCAAGGTATGCGCGCGTTTTGTCTTGTTTGTAGCTAAAAAAAATGTCTGATAGGTAAAACATCCTTGTAGGAAAACTGTCTTGACTCTGTTGTACTTGTTGTAGATTTGATCTAATGTTATCATTCATTTCTGTGGTCCTAATCAAATGTATGTTATAATTCCCAGGACGCGTACAAGTTACCACACCGATTGATAGAGAAGAAGAGGAGAGACAGAATCAATGAGTGTATCGGACAGTTAAAGGATTTGTTACCGGAACATCTCAAACTGACGGCAAGCTTTTGCGATTAAGAAGTGATTTGTATAGCCTATTTATTGTTTTTTATTGTTTTGATGAATGATTGTTGAGTTAACTGATCTCGTGTTTTCCACTCAGACGCTCGGGCATTTGGAGAAAGCGGTTGTTCTTGAGTTAACTTTGAAGCATTTAAACGCTTTGACTGCAGTCACTGAGCAGCAGCACCAGAGGATTGTGGCTTTGCAGAATGGTAAGTTGTTGTTGCATAACCTCCAATGACTATTCAAAGATTCATGATAGGCTAGAGTCGATGAATTCTGTATTTTGGCTTCTTTGGGTTTGGATAGGCTATGCGTAAAAGTTATTGTAGCCATCAAATTTGATATTGTTGTGTTCTCCTAATTAGGTACAATTTAATTCAGACAATTAAGTTGTCGTTTCTAACTTTAAATGCATGTTTTCCAGGGGATCTATCGATGAAAATGCCCATTCGCGCTGATTTGGATGTGTTTCACTCAGGGTTCCAAGCGTGTGCCAAAGAGGTCCTGCAGTACCTAAACAAGTCGGAGAACTGGAATACATGCGAGCAGCGGTGCGCGCAACTCATCAGCCACTTACACAAAGTCTCAGCGCAGTTTCAGCCCGGTGCGCCACTACTCCATCCCCAGCTACCTGCCAGAGACGCGGTCGACCGCGATGGCCAAAAAGTGGACAGCCAAACCGGACATGACCGCGTATCGGTCATACAGAGGAGCCATGGAGAGCTTAACGAGAATGACACAGACACAGACAGTGGATACGGGGGTGAGGCGGAAAAGACTGATGGGAATAAAGGATGTGACCGGAGCAAAGTGCAGGGGCCCAAGGCAGTAAAGATAAAGCAGGAGTTCGGGGATGACCGCGCTGCCAAAAAACCAAAGATGAACTGGGCTGGAAACTGCACGACGAGCGCAGACGCGACCACCAGACCTGATCTGGTCTTTATGAATTCGTTGATGGGAATAACTGGTTTGGGACAGCAGACTCCCTTTTGCATGCCCTTTTACTTCATCAATCCCTCGGCGGCAGCGTCCTACATGCCTCTATTCGACAAAAGTAACCTAGAGAAGTTTGTGTACCCAGCTGCGGCAGCGGCGACGCTGTCATCCCAGTTCCACTGGTTATACCCCGGCCTCAACTCACATGCGTCCGCAGCTGCGGCCGCAGTAGCCGGTGTTTTTTCCGGCATATCAACAGAGAAGAGCTCTGGATTCGGTTCCGACTCCAAGGACTCTCCCTCCGACGACAGTGACATGTCAAACGTGGCGGAGCCGGGCTCATCTGATGAGAGGGAGGACAATCTTGAGAATGATGAAGATGATTATTATGATGATAAGGAATTAGGGGATGACTCCCCAGACAATGAAAATGACAGTACATAATAAAGATTACATTTCGAGATTATATTTTCTTTCTTGTAAAAACGGGCTAATTTATCTGTGTATATCTTAAATTGATGTGCATTCTGCATTTTAAGCCTATATTGTTTACGATTCTCCGACAGCTGTCTGTTTTTACCTTATTTTCGTAATTCGATAGTTTTTTATTGATGTAGGAGTTTCGAGACAAGTTTCACAGTTGAATTTCTCCTGTATCTTGGCCAAGCAGGGGGAAGTTGTGACAGTGTGTGCCTTTTGCACTTAATGCGAGAATAATCTGAATGAAAATCGACAATGATTGACACTAACAACCTGTACACATCTGTTATTACTAAAATCATAGGTTATATTGAGCTGGAGTTAACACAACCTTTAAAACTGCCAATATCAGTGCCAAAACATCAAGACAAACAATCTGCTTATAAGCAATATTTCCCTCTGATCCCCAATCAGCTAGTGACTTTGTATGTATGGTGTTGCAACTGACCTCCGCCAAGGTCAACATTGCAGGTTAACATTGCTGACTCTGACTGTACAGTATGACTAATGGTGATTGGTGTGGTTTGATCCATTTCCTTGTTTGTGCACTAAGTCAGCCTCTGTATAAAGTTATTGAGAAAGTTACTTAGGTACCTCAAACCGAGATGTCCACCCTGGATCATAGATAAGCACTAACTGGACAAATTACTTACTTCATATTATGTAACTCCCTCTCCATGCCAACACATTTGGATTTCTTTATTTAGTCTTTTGGAATTTAAAGTAACCCCATCAGATACATTTTGCTGACTGCTGATTTTTTGCATAATATTGAAAGGAAGCACTTCATTGGAAGATGCTGTTTTATGACAATTGACAATTATATCCCTGATTGGTTGGCATCTCTGCACACATAATGAGACACCCCGTGACCTGTCGGCTAAACCTCCAGCAAAATGATACTAGGCATGAACTTTGATATTGAATGTAACTACCTTTGTTTTTCTTAGCTCTGGAAGTTTCAGAGATAAAGTGCACTTGTTTCTGCCTTTGGAAAATCCCCTCTGTTCCTTCCCGACACTCACTTTCCAACTATTGTAGTCCATCACTGTATGTATTTTTTAAAATATATTTTTCTTGAAGAAAATCACTAAACTAGAGGGCAGAAACTTTACTCCAGACTGTATAGACTCTGTATGTGTTTGAAGAACAAGATACTAGGCTACTACAGATATTGAGGCTTTTTAGTGTTTTTGTGGAGAGCCCCTTTGAATAAACATTATAAGCCACTAATCATAGCTCATTTTGGGTTATGTGTCTTATTGTATTTATAAAGCTACATGAAACAACTTATACTCAGCCTCAGAATGAAGAATAATCTCTAGTATCACATTCTAACACATACACAAACTTACATACAGGTTAGGTGTATGTAGATGGAGGTAACTTTGGACCGGTGACCAAAAGTTCTGATAAATGTCCTTTTAAAATGTACAATCCTTTTTTTTTCTTGAGAGATTAATTCCTGCAATTGTGGCGTTTATCATGTTTGAGTTCCTTGTGTGAGTGACTAGAATTGATTTGCATATCCAATATTGTTTATTTTTAGCTTCTGTTCAGCCGGTCTTGCCTCAAATCTGCTATGTTTTCAACTGTCATTAAAAGTGGCGTGTGTGTAAATAGATTTGTGAATATACTATGGAATATATGTCCGATGTCAATGTTGTAGAATAAATCGATGTGTAACAACAACAAAAACATATTTAACTGAGCAACTGTTGCACATTTCATTAATGCTTTACACATATGTTGTTGTAAATTATTGCTGACAAGTTGTAAAATAAATATCAGACCAAAAACTATTCGGATGCCTCATTGTTGATTTATTTTTGCCACAAAACTGATTTTTTCCTTCATAGACATATCTATATCAAATTATTTAATTGATAGGAGGCATGCTATAGATCAGGGGTGTCAAACTTATTCCATGGAGGGCCTAGTGTCTGCAGGTTTTTGAAAACCCGCAGACTCTCAGCCCTCCGTGGAATGAGTTTGACACCTGTGCTAAAGATGATCACAAACTTTACAATGATTCTCTCCCTGTAGTTTACACGTTACTGTACAAAAAATTAGCTTACACTTCAAAGGCGTGAATTATCCCTTTAAGCTACTGACAAGGTCTCCCTACCTCTACATACATAGCTTTACGGTAGCCATACCACCATTTAGTTGACCATGTCCGTTATTGGACTTGTCGGCTCTGGGTGAGAAAAATCACCTACCGGTAAGTTAATTGGGTCTCCAATAACAAGTGGTGTGAAGAAGAAGTGATACTGTACACCCTGATACTGTAAGTCCTCAGGCTGATATGTACTGTTACTGTGGAATATAGGGGAGAGTGGGGTAAGTTTAGCCATTTTTTACATTCAGCATCACTCCATCAAGGTAAATATAGTATTCGTTCTAACAAAGATATCTACATAAATTTCAGATTGTGTATCCCTGGAAATAATCAGAATTCATGTAAACATTCGTTTTGAAAACATAGATTGTCAAATGGGGTAGGTTGAGCCGCAGGACAGGGTAAGTTAAGCCGCCTACACATTTCTGTACTGATTGAAACATTACCACTACCTTTGTCTATCATGTCTATCTTTATTTCCCAAACACAATTCAACACAATCACTTTTTTGTATTTTATTCATTTTAAGCATATTTTAATACAGGCTTAATACCTAACAAACACTTTGTAGTTTTTTAAACACTTTTAACATAGGCTAGGCCCTGTTGTTACCTCAGCGAAAATGCCTTGGGAAGAAAACACTTCAATTTGCTCAACCATTGGCGCAACTTACCCCATGGCCATTGGCTCATCTTACCCAAAGGGAAACATTTTGACTACATTAGCCCACACAGCTACAAGGATGCACTTTCATGCTAGGTTTTGGACCTCATATTGAAACTTATAGAGACCACAACTGATGTATAGAACAATCTTTAAATGATCTACACTGCTCAAAAAAATAAAGGGAACACTAAAATAACACATCCTAGATCTGTATGAATTAAATAATCTTATTAAATAGTTTTTTCTTTACATAGTTGAATGTGCTGACAACAAAATCACACAAAAAGTATCAATGGAAATCAAATTTATCAACCCATGGAGGTCTGGATTTGGAGTCACCCTCAAAATTAAAGTGGAAAACCACACTACAGGCTGATCCAACTTTGATGTAATGTCCTTAAAACAAGTCAAAATGAGGCTCAGTAGTGTGTGTGGCCTCCACGTGCCTGTATGACCTCCCTACAACACCTGGGCATGCTCCTGATGAGGTGGCGGATGGTCTCCTGAGGGATCTCCTCCCAGACCTGGACTAAAGCAAATCCGCCAAACTCCTGGACAGTCTGTGGTGCAACGTGGCGTTGGTGGATGGAGCGAGACATGATGTCCCAGATGTGCTCAATTGGATTCAGGTCTGGGGAACGGGCGGGCCAGTCCATAGCATCAATGCCTTCCTCTTGCAGGAACTGCTGACACACTCCAGCCACATGAGGTTTAGCATTGTCTTGCATTAGGAGGAACCCAGGGCCAACCGCACCAGCATATGGTCTCACAAGGGGTCTGAGGATCTCATCTCGGTACCTAATGGCAGTCAGGCTACCTCTGGCGAGCACATGGAGGGCTGTGCGGCCCCCTAAAGAAATGCCACCCCACACCATGACTGACCCACCGCCAAACCGGTCATGCTGGAGGATGTTGCAGGCAGTAGAACGTTCTCCACGGCGTCTCCAGACTCTGTCACGTCTGTCACGTGCTCAGTGTGAACCTGCTTTCATCTGTGAAGAGCACAGGGCACCAGTGGCGAATTTGCCAATCTTGGTGTTCTCTGGCAAATGCCAAACGTCCCGCACGGTGTTGGGCTGTAAGCACAACCCCCACCTGTGGACGTTGGGCCCTCATACCACCCTCATGGAGTCTGTTTCTGACCGTTTGAGCAGACACATGCACATTTGTGGCCTGCTGGAGGTCATTTTGCAGGGCTCTGGCAGTGCTCCTCCTGCTCCTCCTTGCACAAAGGCAGAGGTAGCAGTCCTGCTGCTGGGTTGTTGCCCTCCTACGCCCTCCTCCACGTCTCCTGATGTACTGTCTCCTGGTAGGGCCTCCATGCTCTGGACACTACGCTGACAGACACAGCTTACCTTCTTGCCACAGCTCGCATTGATGTGCCATCCTGGATGAGCTGCACTACCTGAGCCACTTGTGTGGGTTGTAGACTCCGTCTCATGCTACCACTAGAGTGAAAGCACCGCCAGCATTCAAAAGTGACCAAAACATCAGCCAGGAAGCATAGGAACTGAGAAGTGGTCTGTGGTCACCACCTGCAAAACCAGTCCTTTATTGGGGGTGTCTTGCTAATTGCCTATAATTTCCACCTGTTGTCTATTCCATTTGCACAACAGCATGTGCAATTTATTGTCAATCAGTGTTGCTTCCTAAGTGGACAGTTTGATTTCACAGAAGTGTGATTGACTTGGAGTTACATTGTGTTGTTTAAGTGTTCCCTTGATTTTTTTGAGCAGTGTACTTTGGTTTAGATACAAGCATCATGAAACCTCTAGCACAATACATTCATTTGACTTGGTGAAAATCTGTTTTTTAGACCTAACTTGCTTACCACTTATTCCATGTGGTTTCTTCCTTCACAGACTTCATAAAATGATAACCGCTTCCTAAATATTTGGTCACATGTTTTTTTTTGTTGTTGCATGGTTTCCTAGAAACAAGGGTGGCTCAATTTTCCCACTCTCCCCTACAGTAATCTACGGCTTAGCTAGTGTCATGTGATAAGAGAATGATGAAGTATGCTTACACTGACACTCTGACTCTGCACTGGCTGGTGCAAAACAAGGAAGTTTTTTCACTACATGCTGCTTCGGCAAGATCAACTCCATTGGAAAGGACAAAAGGGCTTATGTTCCTAATAACACCTTTTAGTAGGCCTAGTGACAAAGACCAGCCCTAGCCCCTTAGGTCTATGTTGGCACAATTAGTTAAATACATGCCTTGATATCTTATTAGTTAGTTATTTCTGAACACAGGCATCAATGCAAGTGTCACTATTGTACATTTTGATATCGACCAAATACAGGTGGTTGATACCTAGGCTTGATCTCTAGTCTTTAATATGACATTTATGTTTCTGTTTGGATAGTTAGGTATGTTTAATATATATTTTTTAATTGCCTGACTTGTGAGACTAGTTGTCAGCTATTTGAATCAGAGAGTAATAAGCTGATTTCTAGTCACTTCTGCTAAGGACAGACACAGGCTTTGGGGGGTGCCTTGCTCCCACTGCTTTCATAGGGCTTTTCACACTACTGAGCAAAACTGTGGCGAGTCAAACCAATCCAAGTTGTTCTATGCTCTGCATAGTAACATTTACATTTTAGTTATTTAGCAGACGCTCTTATCCAGAGCGACTTACAGGAGCAATTAGGGTTAAGTGCCTTGCTCAAGGGCACGTCGACAGATTTTTCACCTAGTTGGCTCGGGGATTAGAACCAGCAACCTTTCAGTTACTGTCACAACGCTCTTAACCACTAAGCTACCTGCCGCCCTAGAAAAGTAGTGTCCTAGTTCAAATATTCTGAACAGCAACATTTTCCCCCTCACTGGTAAAGCACAACAATTTCTGTTTGACTATCAATCAATCAATCAAATGTATTTATAAAGCCCTTTTTACATCAGCAGATGTCACAAAGTGCTATACAGAAACCCAGCCTAAAACCCCAAACAGCAAGCAATGCAGATGTAGAAGACTAAAGCTTCTGCTTTACACAGTTGCCACCAGAATGCATGATACTAGTGTAAGTATCTAATAGACTAATATATTAGGAGGGTAAACAACTGTAGAATGTATATCAAGTCAACTTAATCTAATCAAGTCAACCCCCACTGACTTCTATAATACAACTCAGTGTAAAACTCTTTATAAACCAGACATGAGTTTGAAATGAGAAATCAGTCTGACTGAACCTTCAAGTTGCCTGAAGTATTTTTATGACTGCTAATAGTTTAGAAATAATCCACTAGGTTATTATTATGCAATTATTTCAAGCCACTCACCTAGAACCATCCAGTTCTTAGTCTGTGATTATTGGACGGATAGCGCCATCTAGTGGTGATACTAACAACACGGTTGCCATCGCCATTATCAAGTAACTCCCACTGCTTTCATAGGGCTTTTCACACTACTGAGCAAAACTGTGGCGAGTCAAACCAATCCAAGTTGTTCTGAGCTGGCCTGTTTACACATCCACAATAGTTGCTTGCACCGTGCTGTAAAGGACAATGTGAAAAGGAAATATCTGAGCCAGCAGTTTGGTAGTGTGAAAAGGGCACGTTTCTCCGGTGTACTCTTCCCTTTCAATTATAATTTAATAGAATATAAGACTCATGTACGACTTCATATAAGATTACAAAAAGTTTGTCATATCATTTTATTATAATCATGCAATCCATGTCACATCAGCAGCCAGTTGTATCCATACATCTCTCAACAATTTGCTGTGAATTAAGGCAGAAAAATAAAACATGTAGCTATGTACAGTTGATTTCTTAACATGGGAGAGTGCACAAGACATAAAATTGTAAACACTGATCAAAACAGCCTATGGAAACGTACAAGTGGTTTTTTACAGCTATACAGCCACCTACCTTACCTTAGGTGGAAAATAAATGATAAAACCATGGTAAGTACATAGGCTGTAATCAAATCTATCAGAAATAAATGTCGAACCACCTGTTTCTTCCATAAACATCTTACTCACACAATGAACAGAACTAGCCTGGTCCCAGATCTGTATGTGCTGTCTTGCCAACTCATATGGTCACTGGCGTAACAATGACTATAGGCGCTAGCAAGACTCCACAAACACATCTGGGACCAGATTAGAACAGTGCAGGGTCATTGTTGGAATAATTCCTGGTAAAGCTTTACATTATTTGTATACATGTAGAAATAAGCATGAGTATAAGGCACTTGTTAAGAACTTATTAAAAGCTGAGTAGCAGTGAACCATTCGTTTATCAAAACCAATGAGAGGTATTCCGTACATTGAAGGCAATTATGATATTGTGTACATCACAACAACAATTGGTCAATTTCTTCTTTAATGCAGAAACTAAAAAGGAGTGTCGTTTTATCAGCTTTTAGGGCTCGATTCAATCAGTAGCGGAAGGTCCGCGTTATAGCGTGATTGAAATGTAAAGGTTGAGACGACATATGCAGCGTTTACTGTAAATGCAGTCTCCGCAAAAAACACGGGAACATTGCCTTTCAATTTCAATCGCTCTATAGCGCAGGTCTTCAGCGCTACGGATTGAATCAAGCCCTTAGTCAGTGGTGTGGTGTTGCATTTGCCTGGTTCCAGATCAGTTTGTGCTGTTTTGGCAACTCCTCTGGTCATTGTCATGCCAAGGAATTGGCAAGACAGGAAAAACTGATCTGGGCCATTATCCACAATTCTTCTCAGATTAGGGGTCATGATCTAGGACCAGGTCCTCTCTGTCCATATAATCTTATTCATTATGATATAAAAGGTCAAACTGATCTTAGATCAGCACTCCTACTCTAGCCTGGTCCCAGGGACTGTATTCATTAAACGTGTCTCAGAGTAGGAGTGCTGATCTAAGATCAGTTTGACCTTTTATATCAGTGTTGCATATCTGTCAATTGAGGCAAACCACTCCCTCTTAGGATCTTACAAAAGTTGATTTACTGTCACTTAGCTTTGAATAAGTATTCTGATATGGCTACTTGTAAAAACAAACACATGCAATACGATCTCTAATCTTTGGTCCCATTTCTTTACAGATGAATAAGCTTAAACATTTTGGCAAAGTAACATAGTCATATTGTCAGCGCAAGATAAAAGATAAAACGAACACTGTCGGTTCATTCGATACTGTTGCATTAACAATATTGCATAAAGTACATACACAGCTGCCAAAGTTCTGCTTCTTCCGCAGCAATGGAAATAAACATGAATGGTGACCAAGCTTTATACTATCTACAGTATTCTACCATTTCAATAAGTGAATATATCAGTTGTCATATCACATATATGACATCTGCATTGACAATAATTGACATATCACATATGACATATCAACTGACAATAATTGACATATCGCATATGACATCAATTTATTGACAATAACTGACATATTAGCACTTATGGACAGTTCATAGGCTACCATCTATCCTTTCTTCAGTAACAAAACCTTGAACCACTGGTTGTATGTTGTACTGTGCCTCGTGTATAATAACAATCAGAACAGAGCAGAAACAGTCTGCATGTTGGTTGATGTGAGCTGAGGGTCAAAGTTTGATATGATAAATACACAGTATAAATGCTTCAGAAACAGATATCCATGAAAAGCTACTTGGGCCACTGTATAGACATCTCATCCATGACTCAATGCAGTCCAAATGTAGCTACATTACAGCTTTCTCATTTAAATGAAAAGAAAGTAATTGCACTTTAAAGGGATGAAAACGGCGATGATGATAATGACACATCACTTTTAGTCACAAGGTTTCCATAGATGGGCAACTATTTGGGCTATGACACACGCTTCTTATGTCTGTTGTTAGATTGTCTATTTCAACTTCACTGAGTGTACAAAACATTAGGAACAACTTATATTGAGTTGCACCCCCTTTTGCCCTCAGAACAGCCTAAATTAGTCGGGGCATGGACTCTACAAGGTGTCAAAAGTGTTCCACAGGGTTGCTGGCCCATGTTGACTCCAATGCTTCCCACAGTTGCGTCAAGTTGGCTGGATGTCCTTTGGGTGGTGGACCATTCTTGATACACACGGGAAACTGTTGAGCAGGAAAAACCCAGCAGCGTTGCATTTCTTGACACGCTCAAACCGGTGCACCTGGCACCTACTACCATACCCTGTTCAAAGGCACTTACATCATTCACCCTCTGAATGGGACACATACACAATCCATGTCTCAATTGCCTCAAGGATTAAACATACTTCTTTAACCTGTCTCCTCCCCTTCATCTACACGAATTGAAGTGGATTTAACAAGTGACATCAATAAGGGATCATAGCTTTCACCTGGATTCACCTGGTCAGTCTATGTCATGGAAAGAGCAGGTGTTAGTTTTTCCTTCATCGTTGGAGCAATCATCATCATGTGTTGTCCCATGTGGGAGACTTGGAGTGCTTGTACACAATGGCCTCTAGCCATATCCTCTCTGTAAGTGGAGGTCATTTTATCCATGACAGAGCATAGACAGGAGAGTGTTACTGAAGTATCCTTTACCTGGACGTCCTATCACATCCTTGAGCTAGTCTTATCCCAGATCTGTATATAACCAACTCCTGACTAGGAGTGACTAGGAGAGGAGTTGGCTAAAGAAAACCGTTTTGGGACCAGACTACCAAGCAGGCTACCTTTAGGTTGGTAGTGAGGGGGCCAGCTGGCAGGGGAACATAGACATCCCCCCTCTTTGTCCTCTGTCCTCTTACACGTAGATCCCTTCTGGGTTTAAGCCAGACGTCAGCGGGCTTTGCAGGACCCGAAGGTGACCGGGCATCGGGTGGGAGGAGACTGGACGCTTCAGGGAACCGGACAGAGGAACCAGGTCTGAAAGAGAGAGAGAGGGAGAGATGGAGAAAAAATATATAAAGAGAGAGAGATAATTAGTTACTTTATTTTGCTTTAGATATTTGTTACCTTCAAATCTACTTCTCAGATGTAAATGTGTTACTAGGTCTGTCCACAGGGTGTCAGCATTGAGCTATGCATGACACCAGCCATAGCAGTTAATTCAATGGCCAAACATGGAGGGCTCTTGCTGATTCAACACACATGTCCTGCTAGGTTATTAGAAGGACATGAACATTAAACGCATTACTTTACATAATGCAAAACCATTAGCATGAATACTAATATACATTCAAGAGCCTACCCTTTACATGAGGTGGTAAGCACATGGTAAAACACAGTTATTCAAAATTATTTGGAAAAGTGATCTGGGAAAACCTGGTGGGTGAGGGGGGATTTAAAGGTGTACTGCTGTGTGGGTTAATACAGAGGATATTTTAAAAAGGTCTGGTTTAGTGCATAAAACCACAGTCTTTTTACAGTTTCTAACATGGAACACTACAGCTGCACCATCGAGAGCATCCTGACCGGTTGCATCACCGCCTGGTATGGCAACTGTTCGGCATCTGACCGTAAGGCGCTACAGAGGGTAGTGCGTACAGCCCAGTACATCACTGGGGCCAAGCTTCCTGCCATCCAGGACCTATATACTAGGCGGTGCCAGAGGAAGGCCCAAATAATTGTCAAAGACTCCAGTCACCCAAGTCATAGACTGTTCTCTCTGCTACCACACGGCAAGCGGTACCGGAGCGCCAAGTCCAGGTCCAAAAGGCTCCTTAACAGCTTCTACCCCCAAGCCATAAGACTGCTGAACAATTAATCAAATGGCCACCCGGACTGTTTGCACTGCTGCTACTCGCTGTTTATTATTTATGCATAGTCTTAGCTCTCTGTCTTCCTCTGTTCTTTCTGCCAAGCCAGCCTAGCCTCTTGGCAAGCAAGATACAGTCCACTGAGTCCATCACAGAAACTGCTAAGCATGAGATGGAGGGAGGACGGCAGGAGAGAGTGATGGAGGGATATGATGATGGAGGGAGAGAGGAAGAGCTGAGGTGGCGGCCAGCAGCCGTATCTAGGCAGCCGTTGGCATGGAGACATAAGTGCCACTGGAGGGGGTGAAACAAATGCACACATGCTCGCACACGCTCGCACACTCTCTCTTGCTCTCTCCCTCCCTCTCTCCCTCTCTCTCTCTCTCTCTCTCTCTGTAGCTCTCTGTAGCGCTCTGTAGCTGAGTAATCCTCTCTCAGCAGGCAGAGGGACGTCACAGAGAAAATGATAACTGCTGTATAAAAGCCTTAGTTGGACTGACTGAGTGACCTGGCAGGCAGAGCAGTGAAGAGCGGAATTATGTTTTACATAAAAAATATCACAGATCTGTGCAAAAATGGTCATTTAATGAATCAGCGTGATTTAATTTACATGATGGCAGCATGATTTAATTTGAAGGTTTACAGTATGTTTTGCACAGATCTGTGCTCTTTTGCTCCACAGATATGTCGCCCGACAAGGGAAATGGCATGTAAATACACCTTCTGCACAGTGGTAGTGATATAGCCAATGTCATGAAGTTGCCTGTCTTTGTTCAGTGTGGACAGGCTTGTTATTGGTTGTGTTTAATTCATCAGCAATGAATCACATAATATGTTATTATTATGCCTTTTCAAAGAACAAGGTGAATAAACTGAGACTCAGCAATATGACGTGACCACGAGCAGTAGAACCAAAGATATTGCAGAGTAGAGCAATGCAAGAGGCTGCACCCACAAAGAGGATTGATGCATCTAGCTCATTTGAAGTAAATTACCTGTGCCCTGTCCGGTGTGGGTAGTCCCCTCCTCGTCCTCACTGGGCTCGGCTGGCAGCACGGTGACCTTGGTGCCAGTCTGCTGGATGAACTGCTGCAGGTTGACCTGTCTCAGCTCCTTGGTCAGCTGCTCCAGCTCATGCTGCATGTCCTGGAGGGGAGATACAGATTGATCAACGATATAAATCTATATTTTTGCCATCTATACTTCCTATAATCTGTATCCATACTGACTGGTCCTCTGTTCCTGGTGCGTGGGTGGGCTACATATTATGCCCCAACAATCTGCCCATGGTGTGTGTGTCCACCAGTATGTTCCTTCAACATTCTATATGTTTCTATGTGCATTTGTTTATGTGTACGCTCATGCATCAGGGTTGTGTATATGTGAGTGCATGTCAATGCATGTGTCTGACCTGCAGTCTCTTGCCACTCTGGCTTAGGGACCTGTCCACGGCTCTGCAGCTGCTCTCCAGCTGGACGGCCTGTCTGTCCTGAGTCTTGAGCTCCGTGCGGGCCCTGAGCACCTGCGCCCTGGCCTCCACCTCGCTCACCCTCTGAGTCTCCTGTCTTTCCCGCTGCAGACGCTCCTCCTCGAGACCCGCCTCCACACCCTGACACACAGACAGGTTTTAGTTTGAGACCAATAGGAGTAGGAGATGGTTAGGAGAATATAGGCTTCCCAGCACCCTAGCCACATCATCTGTTTTGCAGGTAGTCTGTTATAAATACAGATGGAAGTGCATAGAAAGGCATAGAGAGACATTCAGAGAGAGAACAGGCATTGGCTGTCTTTAAAATGGTGATGTGAGGTGCCTGTACACCTTTAATGTTAAATGATTATAACAATGTCATATTCAACAGAAATCGTAACATTTCTAATTAGAATTAGAATTACAAAAACTTTATTGTCCACGCAATGTGGAAATGTGTCTTTGGCTTCACCACATAAAAACTGACATTAAACACCATCAGGAGCACATCATCCTTGAGATCATGAAATAAACTATACAAAGTACAACAGTGCAAGTGCAGTTTCGTGCAATTTAGGTGAGCAATAATAGTGTCCAGGCCACTTGTGCATATCTGACTAATGCCCATGGGTCATAAATCCGAGGTGTGCCCCACCCACCTGTACCAGAGCCATCCTGTCCCCCAGGTCGAGCTTAGCGCCCTGCAGACGTCCCATCAGCTCCTCAAGCCTGTCCTCCAGCTGCCTCTCGCTCTCCAGCTCAATCTGCAGTTCGCTGGCCCAAAACTCCTCCTCCTCCATCTCCACCTCGTTCTTCCTCAGTCGTCTCTCCAGCCTCCCTATCTCCTCCATCAGCCCCCCTGCTCCTCTGGCCTCCTCTCCCCCTCTGCCATCCCCACGTCCACCCCAGGTCTGCAGATCAGCCTCATAGGCTTCCAGCCTCTTCCTCAGCACAACCAGAGTCTCTCTCTGGAGCCCCACCAGTCTGACCAGGTCATCCATGCGGCAGGCCCACATGCCAGGGGACACTGCCCCCACTGGGGCTACCGCTGCGGCTGCTGCATAGTGGTGGTTGTTCTGGTTCCCAACGTTCCCCTGGAGTAGGAGACGTTGTTTGGCCTCGGCCTCCCTCCCCTCCCAAGCCCGGCCTCCACTCAGGATGTCCCGGAGGCCTCGGGGCCCGCCGGTGAAGGTGAGGGACTTGCGGCGCGGCTCGCGGCGGCGGAGGGAGCGCTCGCTGGGGTGGCGGAGCTTGGCAAGCGGGGGGAGGCTCTGCCGGTGGAGACCGCGTTCCGGGCCCCGGAGCGGAGGCCCCTCGGAGGGGGGGCGTTCAGTCAGGGAGGGGCCCGTGCGGTGCAGGATCAGCTGGACGTCACCGGCATACTGACCCCAGGTGTTGATGGAGGCCACTGGGCTCTCGTGCGGGGCCAGGTGGCGCTCTGTGTCCCGCCATTGCTCCACCAGGGTATAGCGCCCAGTGCGGCCTGGGAAAAACAGATAAGACAAGTTCAGTTATGTAGGCTTTTTGTGTATGTTTTTGTGTATGTTTTTGCGAATGTCTTCTCAGCCTATGTACTTTGACAAACTAACTAACAAATCCATTGAGATTAACAATAGCTCTTGTGGTAATCATATTTCATGTGGATCAATAGGATAAGTATCAGTGCATCCATCGCCAGCTATTAAAAAGCGCAAAGCAAATGTAGGAGTCTTGAATAATTTAACATCAATCTATGCAGAGTGATTAATAACCCTGTTTTAGGTCATATGATATATGAAATTTAATTTTCCAATTTCCAATTTTCACACACGTAACAAGGCCAAAGAGACCGAGACAACCCCCTGATACACACAGTCTCTTGCCAAAAGCTTGTCCCAACTAGAGATAAACCCAATAAACCTAACATTAACCTTGTCATTAGACATTAGTACTGTGCATAGGACCCCTCTTTAAACCCAGAATATACAGAGGTTTAGGATCAGTGGATCTCAGTATTAAATTGATGATCACCATGTGTAAAACTGTCGCAAATTGAATAAATATAAATGTCACTTGGGAGAGTAAGGGAGAGTAAGAAGCAGTATCCCATATTATAAGCGGTTCTATGGCGATTTTACCAAAGAAGAGATGATGCAAACTGTATCTCATGAAAGAGAAGAAAAGAAAGTAGGAAGAAAAAGTAGGACAGGGGAAGAGAGGAGAGGAGGAGAGAGGAGGAGAGGAGGAGAGAGGAGGAGAGAGGAAGAGAGGAGGAGAGAGGAGGAGAGGGGAAGAGAGGAGGAGAGGAGGAAAGAGGAGGAGAGGGGAAGAGAGGAGGAGAGGGGAAGAGAGGAGGAGAGGAGGAGAGAGGAGGAGAGGGGAAGAGAGGAGGCGAGGGGAAGAGAGGAGGGGGCTGCAGTCAGTGGTTCTGCTTTTCCCCTTCCTGGCGAGAGATGGAGGGATGAGTCAGACTTTCCCTCCTCTTGCCTGCCCCACATAGTGGGAAGTGATGTCAATACAGGCTGCTCCATTCCTCTCCTCTCACTAAGAGAGAGGGGGATGGAGGGAGGGATGAAGGGAGGGATGGAGGGAGGAAGGGGAATCTGATCCAAATAAAGCCTCTGACTAAGACCCTCTATCTCTCACTACAGCACCAGGAGGTTGAGGCGTAGGCAGGAGGAGAGGAACACATATTTGTTAATTTCATTAGGCCTATTTTCAATTAGCGACAAGCTAATACGTTTTCTGCAGCAAGCCTAATTTTAAGACAGCTCTTAATTAAAATTGGAGTTTAATTAACCACCATTTCTTATACAAGCAAGTGGAGCAACACATTACAACAGAGAATCAGTATATCTTCTTCACTCTCTATACTTGAGTACTACTGTTAGTAGTTCTAAACACTTAACACTGGTCCACATTGCACGCAGTCAATCAACTATGGCTTGGTGACAAAGACAGTATCCTACATAACCAAAGTCTCACAGGTAAATGGTTAGGATAGAGGTGCATTACATGATCATTATATTACTCAGTATATCAATATAATCCTTAATGACGGGGCAAAGCACATTCAGAAAACAAAGTATAGGCCTACTACAGGCATAAATGCTAATACTTTATATATTTCAAATATTAGTAGCCTAAAGCATCCTAAAGCCTTGGTCAAGAGTAATAGGTCAGAGCTCACCTATGGCTTGGGCTAGAGCGATGACCACTTCCTGGCAGGTGGTTGCCTCGGTGACCCCACATACAACCCTCTGGACCCCGTCCACCCAGACCTTGAGCTCCATGCTGGGTCAGGTGACTCAGGTCAGGTGACTCAGGTCAGGTGCTGCGAGGGGGCCGGCTGCGGTGGGTTGGCCCCGTCATTCCTGGAAGCTCCAGCTGTGCAGGGTGGCTCCAGCTGCAGCCCCTCTGGCCACCACCTCACTGAAGAGGAAGAACACAGAGCAAAACAGGAAGGACCTGGTCAGGAAGCACATTTAAGAGGACAACATTGTTTTGGTTTGTTAGATTCTCTGCCCAGAACTGAGCAAAACTGGTCAAAACTGGACCAAACTAGTTGAAATAGGTTTCTAGTTGAAATGTTGTAATTTCAACCAGTTTTCACCCACTGGCTGAGGATCTTTTGAATTCAGTAAAACTATTTATTTGGTACATGTAGAAGTTGTTGTCAGTATAGTCAGTGAGGAGATAGGTAGTAGCTATGGGAGATGGCTCATTCATCATGGCCTGAAAACAATACCAGCCTGAAAATGTGTGCCACTATTTTTAGGACCTGTTGAGGAAAAGGAGGATGGCTCAAACAGTTGTTGAATGACAGAACCGTCCAACCACCCAGCCAGGCATACTGGGACCAGCCGGACATGACACTGTTGTTTTCATCCCGGCTCTGTGAATAGGTACGTCTTTAGGGGGGTTAGACTGGAAGAGCCTGCCAGTACTGATGCTCTGAGCCAAGTTCCTGTTATTTTACGGAGAATCGTAAGGAAACAACAGTGAGGAGAGAGCAGGAAGATGGCGTCAGTGCAATAGAGAGGGGGAGAGCAGGATAAGTGAGTGAAAGGTGAAATGGAAAGGGGGGGCAGGAAGAGAGACTGCAACAGAGGAGGGAGAGGATGAGGAGGATGAAGGGAACAAGGACTTGCTTTTGACGTCTCGGAGTCGAGGGTCTCGTATTTTGCCGCAGATGTGCCAACTTTTCACAGAGATCCTATGGCAAGCGAAACGTTTTATTGTGCAAATGTATACACACAGAAAAGTCTTACGAGACCTCTAGAGAGAGAATGGTCACCAAAGGAACAGGGAACAGATGCACACGATGTGTTGAAAAGGAAAAGTGAAGTGTATGTTTGCACTTCTGTCTTGATTTGATGAGGAACATATGGCCAAAACGTTGGTTTGTTTTCTGCATAATGCTCTGTGTGTTGTTCACTGTATGAGCTTCAAAATAGCTTCACTGTAGTAATCCAATGAAGTATGTGGTAAACTCTGAAGAATTTAGGACATAAACCGAAGACTACCAGCTTTATCAGAAATGCATATTTGTCTCACATTCATTTTGAACCGCAATCACTTCCCAGTCAAGTTCATTCCATACAAAAGGAACAAGACTGCTTTTGTGACTGTAGTAGACTCTGAGTTAAAAAAAAAACATGGCCAGTGGCCTTGGTCCATGCAGTCTGGCACATTCTATATTCCTTCCTGCCACACAATGGACCATGGAAGAAAGGTTAATATGGAATTGCGAAATCAGATCAAATTAGGGACATTTCAAAAGAAAACCCAGCTCAGCTCCATCGCAGTCCTCTTCAAGGACAGAGTCTATGAAGAGAGAGTAGCTAGATGGCCGTTGTCCAGAGCTGCGATGCCCCATTGAGGGCTGACCTTCATACTGCAGTTGAGCACAGAGATCTATTCCCCTGCTGGTCACTTAACCCCCCTCCACACCTCCCCCACCCCCCACGTTCCCTCTCCATGTTCTCAATGTCATCTTACAGACACACATGCACGCGCACACGCGCTCAGACACACACACACACACACACTACTGCTCACATGGTGCTTCGCTAAACACAGTGGGTCCGGAACACTAAACAGCACTGCGAGATACAATCAGTTCAGCTAAATAGAACTAGGGGCTTTGAAAGAACAATCTATCATTTTAGGACCAGGCAAATGAGGGCTGCAAACAAAAACTCTGTTTGTGTGTGTGTGTGTGTGTGTGTATGTGTCACCTTTGTCTCTGGCTTGGCTGATGATCTCTCTATTCCTGGCGTATTTATAGCTGGTTAGAAAGTGCTTTTGTCCTTCATCCAGATTGCCCTTAAATGGCAGCAGACTGCAGATAGAGGGATGGAGGGAAACAGGCTGCGAGTCACACACAAAGAGGACCCTGGGAGATTTTTCTGCACTGACCCATAACTCTGTCACCATTTTGTTTTACAATTTTTTCCCAGGGGAGTGTAAAGAGTGAAAAGGCCTGAATGGACACTGGAATACAGTGTGTGTGTGTGTGTGTGTGTGTGTGTGTGTGTGTGTGTGTGTGTGTGTATGTGTGTGTCAGGGGTTGACATGAAACTGACAACACTCCCCCATTGAAATGGGTCAAGGTTATTAGCCAGAACCAGTTTGGTTTTATAATGGTACAATCCCCCCAGGAAAACAGCCAGTGGTTATGTCTACACAGTGATGGTACTAATGCGTCATAATACCATGTTGTAACACACGTTGGCAGGTATTACAATATGACATGAAAAGTGGTGATCCATATAAGATTATCCATATAAGCTTAGCATACAGTAAACACAAACAGAAAGTCCACACCAGCAAGTCCATTACAGTATGTATATAACTGACAATGAAACAGGACAACATAGGTTGGTGCCAAGCCAGTGGCACACAGGGCACAGGTCCATCTCTCTGCCAACTCTGCCCCTTTTCCCTGCCAGCCTGCAGAGATGCCCATGGCCTGATCCTGTGGAGTTGATCACAAACCTGAGCCAAGGAGCATTCCGTGAGATACACGGCTTACACTACATACCAACCCATTCCATTTCAACTCCAAGAACAGCTAAAATAAATTGATGCTTTATTGCTGTAACATAAAACTCAAAACAGCCCAAATCCCAGATGACCCAAGATGCATTTGTCATTTGTCTCAATGTGGCACAGCTTCATAGTTCAGGCTGGTGGTCTCTGGGCTGGCTTCCTGTCTGCTCAGTGAGGTGTGTGAGTACAGGGTGCTGTGGGCAGTGTGTCTGCTGAGACCCAGGTTGCTGCTACGGCTGTTCCCCCTGTTGTCAGCCCAAAGGTCTGGGGCTGCAGGAGCCCAGAGAGTTAGCATCAGGGCCAGGACTTCCACTGACTGATGCTAGTGCAAGTCACCATATGTTCCTCTGGGTCCTCCCACACACAGGGGCACGGGCCAGGCACTGCTATCTCTTTACCAGGCGAGGAGCTGGCCCAGGTTCCCAACCTCTACAACAGGACACTGCCACAGAGATAGTATCCTATAGAGTGAGCATGTACATCTCTGAGCCATGGGAAATATGGCTGTGCTGGGGTGAGGTTTCGTGTGGTGAGGTTTCGTGACCATAGGTAGGAAGGATAAGGGCATCCCTTAAATCATTGTCTCATAGCGCAAATACTCTGTCTGCACTGATTCCCTGTAAATTGAGGGATAAGCAGCAAGTGACACCACTTGACGTAAGACAAGTCATGAATGAAATTATCATATTTATTTCCTTAATTTAGGCCTACAACTACGATGTATTCCTGATGAACTGTACTGCAGTAGACTGGTATGAATATCATGCATTTCCTTGAAGAACAAATGGCCGTTTGAGGAGAAACAAAATGGATATTCATCATGGGGCTAACACAAAGAATCAGGCACAACTTGACTCTGGGAGTTGGGAGAAACTTCTTGGGGAACAACTGAGCTGTTTTGAGGACAAAGGTCCTCTAGCAGAAAAACAGTCTTGTTCCACATCAGATTTTTCTATGATAGATGTCTATGGCGCCAGAGGAGATGGCTGCCGTTTTACGGGCTCCTAACCAATTGTGCTATTTTGTGTGTTTTTTTGCGTTGTTTGTAATTTATTTTGTACATAATGTTTCTGCCACCGTCTCGTATGACCGAAAAGAGCTTCTGGATATCAGAACAGCGACTACTCACCTCGAACTGGATGAAGATTTTTTATTTAATGAGTCGGACGCGAAGGATTTACTGCTGACACCAGACTAGGCCCAAATCCCCGTCATTCGCATGAAGAAGAGACGCCGATACAGGGGACGCAGGTCCAGGTGCCTTGTAAAAATGTGTCTGCGAGTGGGTAACCCGCCTCTACCATCCATCCTATTGGCCAACATGCAATCATTGGAGAAAAACTGGATGAGCTCCGTTCAAGACTATCCTACCCACGGGACATTAAAAACACACAGAGACATGTACACAGCTCCCTCTCGCCCTCCATTTGGCAAATCTGACCATAATTATATCCTCCTGATTCCTGCTTACAAGCAAAAACTAAAGCAAGAAGTACCAGTGACTCGCTCAATACGGAAGTGGTCAGATGACGCAGATGCTAAGTTTTGCTAGCACAGACTGGAATATGTTACCCGGGATTCATCCGGTGGCATTGAGGAGTATACCACATCAGTCATCGGCTTTATCAATAAGTGCATCGATGACGATGTCCCCACAGTGACCGTATGTACCCCAACCAGAAGCCATGGATTACAGGCAACATCTGCTCTGAGCTGAAGGGTAGAGCTGCCGCTTTCAAGGAGCGGGACTCTAACCCGGACGCTAAATCCCGCTATGCCCTCCGACAAACCATCAAACAGGCAAAGCGTCAATACAGGACTAAGATGGAATCCTACCACACCGGCTCCGACGCTCCTCGGATGTGGCAGGGCTTGCAAACTATTACAGACTACAAAGGGAAGCCCAGCCGCGAGCTGCCCAGTGACACAAGCCTACCAGACGAGCTAAATGACTTCTATGCGCGCTTCGAGGCAAGCAACACTGAAGCATGCATGAGAGCACCAGCTGTTCCGGACAACTGTGTGATCAAACTCTCCATAGCCGATGTGAGTAAGACCTTTAAACAGGTCAACATTCACAAGCCAGACGGATTACCAGGATGTGTACTCTGAGCATGCGCTGACCAACTGGCAAATGTCTTCACTGACATTTTCAACCTGTCCCTGACCGAGTCTGTAATACCTACATGCTTCAAGCAGACCACCATAGTCCCTGTGCCCAAGAACACCAAGGTAACCT